AAAAGTGCGGGGGCCCAAAGCAGTACCTACTCCCAGCCGGTGCTCGTTCGCACCTACACCGGACCACCGCCGTCTCAGTCCTCGCACGGCGTCCGCTCTCCGCGGTATCGTCCGTCCAGTGGGGGCCGAGGAGGCTCGCGACGCGTCCCACTACCTCCGTCCTCGAGGTCGGGGACTGCTAACCTCTCCAGCCGGCCTATCCAACCCGCCCTTAGCGGCATTGGGGCCAGCAGCGGAAGTACCAGCCAGGGCACAGGGCATAATGGAAGTCGCTTTACCGGGTTGAACATGCCGCGCCACAAGTCCAAGAAGAGCAGCAGCAGCGGGAGCAGTAAGCTACCGCTACCGCTAACCCTCCCGTTACCGTTACCATGGCAATGGCAGTCATCGCTGCGCCCGGAGCATGACGAGGCTAAGCTACCACCACTAGAGGCCTTCTCCTTCAAGAGCTTCATGGCGGACATGCAAGCACGCGGTGGTGAGGATGATATTGGAGCGGACTTGGACCGGATTGCGGAAATCTGCGCGCGCTCTAGATACTCGCTAAGCAACCAGTACGAAGTTCATGTAGTCCCGCATGGCTCAGGGGAGTCCTTCACAACGGGCGGAAGGCCTTCTACATCTGGACAGAGGAGGAGGGGCCATAACTACAACGCCGGGGGCCCCACGCTGCAGGCGTTCAATTCGGACGATGATGAAAGTTCCGCAGCTCGCTCTCATCGGAAACGCAGGAGTGGAGGCCGACGGAGGAGCGTTGCGTATGGCACCTTGGAAACGATCATGTCGTCAAGCCGGTCCTCGGAAGAGGACAAGACAAAGAAGAAGCCCGCCGCCGAGATTGCCGTTGAGGTTCGGGGCAGGGTTGGACGAAAGACATGGGACAGCTCGACTGGATCGGGATCAAAATCGGGGTCTGCTGCCGAGGGCCTGGCTGAAGGTCACGGGATAATCGGACCATCTCACCATAGTCCGAAAGGTACGCTAGCTCGGAAGAAGTCAGCCGCCTTTGCGACAGCCGTCATGGACAGTGGCCGGAGTGTTGGGAGGAATGATGCTGGTGCCTCCGCTCTTGTCGGCGAGCCTGCGCTACCGCACACGTCGAACACAAACCTAGGGGTCAGGACAACACCTGACTCGCCCACATTTGGCAACATCAGCTTGCAGAACAGCCGGCCCGAATCCCCGACGACTAACGACCGGATGGAGGTCCACCTCGCTGATGAGTTACCCCATCAAGATGATCTCGTGACGTCAAGCGCGATGCGTGGCGCTTGGAGTGCCTGGATCCCGTGGAGAACAAATCAGACTAAGCTGGAGACCGAAGGGTCTTCTCATGCTCGAGCCGCAACAAGCCATGCAGAGGGAAGCCTTAGGCAGTTACTTAAGGCAGTGGATGTGACGCCGGACAAGGGGAAGGCGGCGGATCGTGAGGGTTGAGGCTCATGGTCATCAACATGAGGTGTCGTCATGTTGCTTCGGCTTGGGTGACGTGCCTAGACAGTTTGTGCTATCTTTGGTATTCCTGGAGTGCAAGAACGATATAGAAGGATGGTTGGCTCTTGGGACTTGGTTTGTTTGGGCTTGGGCTTGGATTTGTACCTTGGAGAATAGGCAGGTTCGTCATTCTTACCTAGATCAAAATCATGGGCGCCCCAAGTTGGAGGGGGGACAAAACAGACTGGAAAATTGTTGGCTGCAAGGGGAAACAAAGACATATACCCGGAACTGGTTTTTGCTGCTTGTGCTGGATTATATCGCGGATTCTGAGAATCTGTGGGATTTTTTCTTCTGGGCGCTTATCTAAAGTCGATTGTTTGGATGGGGTCAAGGGGGGTTATGAGCAGGGATACAATGTGATGATGATGAACAGAGAGACGAAGCTATATGACGGTGCTTGAGGACACAGGATCAAGTCGGCCGAGCTTTTGGGAGGAGCAATTTGTTTTTATAGCAGATTTTGATGGCTGAAAAATACGATGAGGCGCAATAGGTCTGGTTCTTGAAGACTGTCCATGTGGACCTTCGTTGTTCTTAGAACCAGAGCAAGCAAAGGTTTAGATGTAGGGGTTAGCGAATTATGAACGGAGTAGACCAAGATGCGCCAATGAGTATTAAACCGATTCTGAGGCAATGAGAGCTTATTCATTTGCTGGTACCGGTACCTGCGGAACAGGTTACCACTCTCACAGGCGTTCTCGACAGCCTAATTGGCGTTGAGGCAAGTCAAATATCCACAGCATCGCAATACCACGAAAAAACCGCGGACATAGAGCACTGCCATTTTAGTTGTCCGCAAGGACATGCTAGTGCCGCAATGCTAGTGGCTGTCCGATTGCAGGGGATCCGCCAGCAACATTATCACGTGTTTTCGCGTTATCCAAGCCCTAGCCCCGCTGAGATACCAGGCCCACCAGAAACTTCCCCCGCGCCCCACGCCCCCGCGTCGTCCCTTCATCCCACCAATCCTTGAGTCCCTTCCCACGCTGGGCCACCACATCTGTCGACATCCTAGCCCCCAAAAGAAACACCAAGCAAACATTTATCTCTCTCGCCGCCAAGACCTACTACGAGAAAATACTTGATAATTAAAAGCCGGATACACACACAATGACGGACCGTCCCCGCCCGCCCGGCGGCGTCTCCAAGCCCGTCCGCTCCAACACGGCCACCAGCTCAGCCTCGTCCTCAACCGCGAGCAGCGTGCGGCGCAACCTGTTCCAGAGCCAGCTGACGCGGCGGCCGACCGCGCCAGGGTCGTCCTCCTCATCCTCGACCGCGACGACGACCAGCACCTCGGCCGAGACGCTGCGGCTCGACGGCGGCGGCGGGGCGACGGAGCCTCAGCAGCAGGCGGGATCGTCGCGGGCGTCGTCGCCGGGCTCGCACGAGATTGTCGTGCGCGATGGGAACGGGGAGATTGAGCTGGGGAACGACCCGCCGACGCCGACGATTGACGACCCGGACGAGGTGGCGCTCGACGCGCGGCTCGAGGGCGAGAAGGAGCGGCAACGGCTGGCCGAGGCGGTCAAGCAGCACCAGATTGAGCGGGATAGTGTGCCTGCGCAACCAGAAGGTAGATATTTGCTATGATTCCATTCCGTCCGTCCCTTTTCCGTCCGATTTTTTTTTCTAAGATGTTTTGGATATAATCACAGAGCTCCTCGAGGCCGTTCGCGCCAGCTTACGAGCAAAGGTTGCGGCATTAGCAGAAGATAACTGGATGTTTGAGCGAGAAGAGCTACCACGCCACCAGGGATAGTCTTTTGCTTTATTTCTTTTATGAGAACTGCAAGCGGCTTCCAAGCAATCCGTTCCCCTATGCCGAGTGAGCTCGTTTCGTGTGCTTTCTCTTTCGAGAAATGCCCAGGGACGGGCACACCTATAGCCTCCTAGTCTAGCCCCTCAGCTGTCGGCGCCTCTACCCTGCGAGCCGCCGGCCTGTTGGACGAACCACCCGGAGCACCTCCGCCGAAGAAGCTCCCCATCATATCAAGCAACGGGTTGCTCTGCCGCGGCCGCGGGATCCCAAAGTACATCTCGGCAATCATCTCCAGCGCTGTGTCCCACGTACCGCCGAGCTCGGCGACGTGGAACGCGTACTTGTGCTTTAGCTGCCGAAACAAATCGGGGTTGCCCTTTTGGATGGCAAGAAGGAGCAGGCCTAAGAAGTTGAGCAGCGGCAGACTCGGGAAGATGCGCACGTCAGAGCCCTGAGAGCTGACATCTTGGACAACGAGGCTCTTATTGCTGTCGGCTAGGGTGCTGACGAAGGCGCGGTACGATGCGTTGGCCGCCCGGACGTTGGCGACTAGGAGATAGGGGAGGATGGCACGGGCGGCGTAGAGGGGCGCCGTGTGCGACTCGTCGTGTTTGTACCATTCATACTCCATGCGCGCGAGCGCCTCGGGCGAGTCCTTTGTGCCCAGTATCAAGTGTTTCTCAGCCTCGTCCGTCTCGTGCTCCTCGGCGTACAGTGAACCGACGACGTGGTGCAACTCGGGGTCGCCGGCGGGGTACTCTCCATATCGTTTTGACCAGCTGTGTGTGGTTTTCCCCATGTCAGCCCGCCTGTCCCACATAAAAGCCTGTTACGCGGGAGGGTCCCTACTCAATCATTTCCTTGATGAACTTCTTGCGCGTCGGCTCCTCGCTGTCAAACAGACGCAGGCACGTCAGCACTTTGCCCTTGGACGCGGCCTCGGGCGCCTGCGCCGACTTATTATAGACGTCGACGAGCAGCACCGCCAGGTCGCCCCCGCTGCCGCCCTGCCCCGCGCGCAGCAGCGCCTGCGACACGCTCGACAGGATGTCGACGGCCGCCGACCAGTTCTCGGCCTTGGTGTAGCGCGCCGCTACTAGCCGCGTCTCCTGGGCCGCTTCGTACTGCTCCTCAAACTGGCCCTCGGCGATGCGCTTCTGCAGGCGGGCGATGATGCGGTCGATTTTGACCTTGGTCGTGGTGGCCATGTTGGCTGGACTGCGGGAAGGGGCTGGTCTCTAGCTGTGGGTTGGTGATAAGTACCGACGGCTGTTTTTGGTTGTGGGTTGGGGTGTTGGGCGCCCAGCGGGGTGTGCGACGGCTATGACTTCAGCTATTCAACCCAAACCAGTCAGTGGGTTGGTCTTCCGTGGCGGTGGGACAGGCGGGACAGACCGGTTACGTAGCTGCTCTGTCCAGGCAGAAAAAGGTCTGCCCCGCATGTTCCCCTACCTTTCATATGCCTTACCTAACGACAACCAGTAGTATCGTGCTGCTACCTTCACACCGGGTGTTGACCCCCGAAGAGCCCCCACATGGAAATCTACCAGCCCACTTCTATGGACCCTCCTCACCTGGTTCATCAATCCACACCACGAGTCCACACCCTCCGTCGCAGGGGAGTGGCCGCGGCGGGGAATCATGTGCTGAGGGTTCAGAATGAGGGGACACACAAGGAACATCCCTTTTGCCCGGCTTACAACTGCTGCGTATCGTATCTTCCCAAGTATAACGAGCACCAGCGGCGTTGGTATAATGGTTATTATCTTCGCTTCCCATCTTGTCTTGAGAATGCGAAGGATTCGAGTTCGATTCTCGAACGTCGCAAACCAATCCCTTGCTTTTTGTCTTGTTTATCAAGGCCCCCTTTAATGTCATAACAACTAACAACTAACCGCCTCTCTCTTTTTTTAAGGGGAATAGAATTTACGTGGACTATACATTACAACACCCATCACCGCGATTATGCCAACTTCTGGGAAGCAAGATAGTTCACTCCACACAACCTCTACTCATAGGTTGGCACGCGATGGTTGAAGAGTATTGTAACCATGTAACCACCGCCAAAACAAAACTGCATGTATTTTGTAATGTCTTCACTGTTTGCTAGGATGTCCAAATAACGCTTCCGCGAAAACCTGCACTAAAGCTGGCGATTAATGGCCTATTGCACTATCCTACAAGTCACTTTTAGACCTCAAAATCAGGTCGACTTTCTCTACGAGAGGACTCCAAGCGCCCGCTCGTACTTCCAGATGTACCGCTGGAACAACAGACTGGATTGTATCAAGGACAAGAAGAAGATCGTGTGATAGGTAGGGTCATCGTGCCTCCCCCCTCGCTCGTGCAGCTTTCGTGTTGTTGACGACAAGAGGCCAGCCATCTCAAATACTTGGTTTCTCAGGCTTTCTGGAACTTCCGTCAATTGCTCGAGTCGGGCTGTGACCCGGTCTAGCTGACCAAGAATAATTCCACCGAGATACCGCTCCATGGTCTGGCCCGATGTTTCGACAGGGCTAGAATTCTCCCTGTCGGTCAAGTTGTTCAACATGTTCAGTAAAATGGGTACGGGCAACCCTTTGAGGGTATCCTCGTGGCACTCCTCATCCCCGCCCTGGCCTATTTTGTGTACAACGGCCGACATACTGCCCACGGCCTGGTGCATATTTCTGGACCATATACTTTTGACAGACTGCACTTCCTGATTGTCCTCCATCTCCATCCCACCAATGTCGTTATGGATGAATTCTAAATATGTAATCGCGGCGTTGCGGAGTCCCTTACTCACGTCCGAGTCCCTAATTTCGTCCGCTTTCTCCATCTCTTCTGTGGTGTGGCCCAATGGTCTCCTCGGTGTGTAGATAGCTTTTGAGATTCCCTGATACTGGTTTCTCCTTTGCAAGGATGATAGCTTCTGCCGATCTTGCTTATGCCTTTCAAGCGGGCTGATATTGCTTCTCGGAGAAGGCCGTTTGTCCGGTATTTTATTTTTAAGCCATCGGATACCTGCCAGCCCAGGCTGTCGGAGTGCTTTCATACACTCCAATGCCAGTTTGCGCATGTCCTCCGGAGCTTCCGGCGTATCGGGAGAGCTGTCGGTCGATGGGTCGGTCTAGAGCCCCATCGACATGTCCGCAACGCTCGCTTTATTTTCCCTTTCCTTATCCGTTGTATCGGCAAAGAAAGCGCCCCCAGGTGGTCGAGTGAGGAGAGGACTGTGGCCGCGTTCTTGCATCTCTTGCATCTCTTGCGGTACCGCGTCCTTGGCGTCATCGTCGAGCGACACTCGCGCCAACCGCTCCATATGCGAGTTGTCCGCGGCAGTCGCATCGTCCGAAACATCGATCAGATCCGGCAATTGCTCATCCAGGGTGGCTTCTCTGCTGTCATCCCCCACGGTGCCATCACCACCACCGAATACGTCCTCCTGATCAAATGGTGCATCCCGCATGTCTTCATCCAAGTCTCCGGCCGACGCTTCGTTTGTCGCCATCGAGTCCATGCTGCCCGATCGTTGTTTACGGGGGCGCATGCCTGGGATATTCATGCCGGGGGGTATCCCAGACCACTCCTCCTCGACTTGTGGGTTGGTTTCTTGCTGGCGCTCCACCTGCGCGAGCTCCTGTTTGTAATGACGGTTGTCAAACTTAACAAACGTCTTGAGAGCATCTGATAATGGGTCGGGAATCTCCTCCATGGCCCTGTCTGTTGTATAAATCAGGATTGGTTTACTGCCGGTACCGCAAGCCTCGCGCATCACCGTTTCGTAGGGAACCATCTGCTGACCAGTCAGCTTGGCTTTTTCGTCTTGATTTCAATCTGCGGTAAACACTCACCTCTGCCGTTGCCGCGTTGTCGTTATCAAGCGCACATGACATCTTCCACCATTGTTCCGAGGGCGGATCATCCTCCTCCAAGTCCATGAGAGCAGGCTCCCGCTTCCGCACATATACCCTGTTAATGTCACCAACCACGCCCCGGAGGGTGTACTTGTGGGTAGGATTCCATTTCGGGTCGTCCGACGGGACGGTAAGCAGCGCGCCCAGATATCGTGACATCTTCTCTAGCTGCTTTCTCTCGGGCAGGATGGTGTCTGGGAAGAGTATCGGGTCAGTGCCTACAAAACTTCTGCTGGTCTGTTTGCTCTTACCTTCCATAATCTGCTCTATCTCGGCCGTTTGCTGTTCAAAATTCTTGATTCGGTTTTCGTAGTCCTGGATTATTTCCACCTCGTCTGGCTCGAGGTTAGGCTCCCCCTCATGGTCGGCAAGGTAGTACTGAGTATCCTCTCCGCGGGCACGAGCTGCTTCATGGTCTCTCCAGAAGGCCCTTGTTTTTATTTGGCCAATCTTTTCTTGACAACGCTCGGCTGCGAGTCTGTTCATGAGCCTTCTGTCCCGAATCTTATTCGTTTTTGGATTGACCCATTTCGTCAGCTCCTCCTCCAGTTGCTGGCTCTTCTTATAGGCAGCGGTAACAGTTGCCGTATCTAGCTGGATCTGCTGCATTTGGTCACGTTTACTGGCTAGGTACCTGTCAACATAAAAGGTTTCGGGAATGTCGATGGCAGTGGGCAAGGCATCCACTCCAGTAGGGCGAAATGTGATGACCTCGGAGAGTTCGGTTATCATGGCAATCCTGGGCATTTCGAGTTCTTCTGCGTTGTAAAAGATCATGTCCCATACATTATAAAGCGTTTCGGCTGCCAAAAGATTATCCCTGGCGACCGTGGTGTCCAAGACAGTGAAAGCAGAAGAGGTGGGCGGTGCATCGCCCAGTACGGGTACTATTTCGACCGTGTTCCTGAACACTTTGCTGACGTGAACCTCGGCAAGTACCGCCTCGAAGAAGTCTCTCTCTCGATCGCCACTTGATTCGATTGCGGACGTGGATTCGGCAAGTATGTCTGCAGTTCCATAACTTCGGTCTGTGGAATCCAAAAAGGCAATCAGACGATGAAGCTCGTCAGTCCAGGTTGGGAAGATTTCTGATGCCCAAATATCCGGCTCCTGTGCTTCCCTGGCTGCCTGCCGTGCTGGCGACAGAATCACCTCGCCTCTCCACCATTCGGCGTTGGAGCCATAGCCGTATTCGGGGGTGCTGCCAGTTCGAAGCAAAGCATTTCGGACGGCAGGAATGGCATGGAGAATCATAAGAATACCACCGATGCGATGCTTCTTCCACTCGTCATCGAAACGGCATCTCAGGAAAACAGGTGCATCGGGTTTTCGCTTCCTAAGCGGCGGTGCTGGGTCGGCTTCACGACGCTTAACTTCCACCATGGCCCACTCGTTCGGATTATAGTCAGTTCGATTGGCAGGACCAAAGTACACAGAAGTATCCCCGTCGCCGGTTATGCCTGACTGTTGCGGTAGGGGCGGTGGCGGTGAGAGGGCCTGGGGACTCTGAACACCGGATGTGTGTAAGGATTCGTTGATGGCTCGCCGCAACGCTGCCTCCTCCTCCTGCAAGTTACTGGGGGCGTTGGCAGTGAACTGTGCAGCCTGAAGGTCAACCATACGACCTATTGGCGACCGATTATTCGCTCTAGAAGGTGGTCGTGACGGCGGCGGGTTGGTACCGCCGTAGAACTCGTTCGGCTCAGTCCCATAGAGGACTTCGTTGTTGTCGGCGGAATGGATGACGAAGGCTATGGGCCTGAAGTCAATATAATGACATGAAAACTGGCGATGAGGTAAACTCACATGGATTTGTGGTATGCGGCGCTGTAGGTTCATCGCCGTCGCGGCCCAAAGAGAAGGCAGTTTCGTCCCACCCGTAGGTAGTTGTGAACTGTGCAGCTCGTCAGTACAGGGAGTAGAAGGTGACGTGGCAATCTGTTTACCTTCTCTAGCGAATCGACAATCTCCATCGCGACTGCCTCCACATCATTATTTTTGGCTCGGAGGGCAGAATATATCATCTTGCGATCGGGAAAACCTGTAAACTCTATCACCGTATCCACATCATGCTCGGTGGGCGGGAGCGCCATCTTATTGAGCGTCGAGTCGCTGGGTGCCTGGGCTTTTTGGAAGTCAGAGCTGGAAGTTCTTTGTCTTCTCACGATGCCAACGATATCGTGGGCGTGAATGAAGGACCCCGCAACAGAATGGAAGCTGGGAGCTGCTTCTGGCTGCTGCAGTAGGTAAGTGCTGCGGGGCGCTGGGCCGGCGACAGGGTACGCAGCTGGTGGACTGCGGTGCAATATGAGGATTAGAGGTTATCAAAATCGTTGAGTGGAAGGTAGAGCATTTGGTGGGCGCCTTGTGTTTGTTGGCCAGTGGCAGTTGGAATGGAAGGCACCCGGCACCAAAGGTAAAGTTGGGAGTTGAAGCTTCAGGGTAGCTGTTCGTGGGGCTCGTAGTTGGTCTGGGTCTTTCCACCCATCCCGCCTATAGCGCACAAGCCACGTCTCGGCTCAGTGATGCTATGGGGCAAGAGATGCAGTGAAGGAAGGCGACCCGTTTGGTGACGTCGAGGTCCTTTTTATTTAGATTATAGATACCTAGTGATTGTCGATTTCTCAGGTGTATAGTCTCCTGCTGCAGTTACCACGAGAAAACACCATATTGTGTTCTCCAAACGTCAAGAAACAGAGTCCAGTACGGATTATCCGAGGCCATAGTTTCCCAGCCACAGGGAAGTACCCGGACCGCCTTGCCTCAGCCGCACCCGTGCTTTCGCGTCCCAGAAACTCCCCTCCACACGTCACACTTTCACTAAATTTCAGCCCTGCCCCACTACTTTTCAACATTGGCATCAACCCTGCCACAAACCTCATACCAGCAACAGCAATCATGGGCGACCGACAGGCCAGAACAACCCGA